ATAAATATGCAAAAGTGTAATATTTAAACAACTTGTAGAATAGAAATATTGATAGCAATGAATGAAAACTCGGTGTCTCTTTTCTTCTTTTTTTTCCTCACTTAAAATATTAATTAATATTTTAATATTTTAAAATATTAATTAATAAATTACTTCTATAATTATTTATAAAAAAAAAGTTATATATTTTGATAAAAGTATAATATTTAAATAACAAACTTATAGAATAGATTGCAATGAATGAAAATTCGGCGTCTCTTTTCTTCTTTTTTTTCCTCACTTAAAATATTAATTAATAAATTACTTCTATAATTATTTATAAAAAAAAAGTTATATATTTTGATAAAAGTATAATATTTAAATAACAAACTTATAGAATAGATTGCAATGAATGAAAATTCGGTGTCTCTTTTCTTCTTTTTTTTTCTTACATAAAATATTAATTAATAAATTACTTTTATAATTATTTATAAAAAAAGTTATATATTTTGACACTTAAAAGTATAATATTTAAACAACGAACTTGTAGAATAGATTGATAGCAATGAATGAAAACTCGGTGTCTTTTTTCTTCTTTTTTTTCTTTACTTAAAATATTAATTAATAAATTACTTCTATAATTATTTATAAAAAAAAAGTTATATATTTTGATAAATATGCAAAAGTGTAATATTTAAACAACTTGTAGAATAGAAATATTGATAGCAATGAATAAAAACTTGGTGTCTTTTTTCTTCTTTTTTTTCCTTACTTAAAATATTATTATTTTCCTTACTTAAAATATTATAATTAATAAATTACTTCTATAATTATTTATAAAAAAAAAGTTATATATTTTGATAAATATGCAAAAGTGTAATATTTAAACAACTTGTAGAATAGATATATATATCGATAGCAATGAATGAAAACTCGATGTCTCTTCTCTTCTTTTTTTTGACGAAAAAAAGTCGAATGATTTACCAAGAGAGTAGGCCAGGCTGACAGCCACTTGTTGAATCGAGTACACGGGCCCGTAATTGCCATTTTGGTCCACGAGGCTGGCCAACAGTGGAACCAGTGCGGCGTCCGCCACTCCGATACCCAAACCCATCCCCATATGGGGGACTATCAGTTGCGACATCGTCCGGGAGGATGGTATCAAAATGGCGCTGATCCCGACCAACAGCATAGCCAGAACGGCGATTTTGCTACGCCCGTAGCGATAAGCTATCACGCCGAAGAAATTCGTTCCAACCAGGTAGCCTATGCTGTCCGGGATGAACACCGTTCCCAGTTGCCATTTCTGAAAAACGGGGAAGAAATTTTTTTCGAAACGGAAGGGATTATTGAAAATTTCATTTCCAATCGGATTAAAAATCGGAAAATGTAAATATACCTTGGGTTTTATGTGAGTTCGTAGCCAGATCGGTAGGCAGGGCTCCAGGATGGCCATCGGCGACGTTGAACACCATATCGCACCAAAGATGATTAGTATGTACGGGTCGGATAACAGGTGCGTCCAAGAGGTTTCTCGATCCAAGGACTGAAAATTATTATTGTATATTCGGGGAAGGAAATTTTTATTGGCGTCTTACCTCGGCACTCATTTCTACGTCCAACGTGAAAATCTGCAGACCTGGAAGGGGGAAGAAAAAATCGAAAATAAAATCTAACCTCTCGAAAAATATTCTAACGTCTCGAATTACTTGTGAAAAGAAAGAAAAACTTGTGAAAGTCAGATTAAAAATATTAAAAAAACTAGAGAGATAAGAAGAAGAAGTTCGTACATATGGTGAGGACGATGAAGAAAGAGACGAGGAGGAAGGGGGCCATTTTCCCCTCGAGGTCGTAGAGAACGGAGCCAATCGGATATCCGACAAGTACCCCCAGCGCGATGCTTCCAAGGACGAAGCCCATGATCCTCGACCTCTTGTCCTCTTCCGGGTATTGGGAGGCGACCAGCGACATACCGGAAACGCCGATACAAGCCGAGGAAATGCCCTGGACGCTTCGTGCCAGGAACAGTACTTCGTAAGTTTGGCCGAACGCGAACACTGCAAAGATAGAAGACTATGCTCTCCCTCTTTCTCTCCTTTTTTAACGCGCCTCGAAGAGGAAGAGTGTTGTTGAAAAAGGGAGAAAGTTGTTGAATAGTTTCTAAGCTTTTGAAAAATCTATTGCAAAAGATTCTATAAATTATTTTTTCATATATATAGATCATATATAGATCTCGTTTTCTCTTTGGAAATGAAATAATTTTGGCGAAGTCTTTCGAGATGGAATGAAAGTGGAAGATATAAAAGAAAAAAAGCTTACGCGTTGCCGCCAATAAAAGGCTCAGATTTCCAAGGAACAATGGTTTTGTGTAACCGAGAGTGCCTGTAAAAGTGCCCACCGCTGGATTCAATATTAATTGAACCAGCGCCTTCGAGCTTAATAATAAACCCACTCGGCCATTCTCGTCGTCTTCACCGTTCCCCGTCGAATTTCCATCCAGCGTGCAAAGGTAATCGGGTATGATAGGCACTGAAATATTTTTTTTTTATTCATTATTAAATTGTTCCAATTACAACTCGTTTTATATCGTTGGAGGAAAAGATCCTCGACAATAAACGGTTTGAATAATTTACCAACAACGGTGAGCAACACGTTGTCCAGAAAAAGGCTGAGATACACGACAGCGACGAGGATCACCCTCGACCTCCCCCCGTTCTCCATCATCTTCCTCACTGTAACGATCCTCACTGCTCGATCCCTTCTCGAAGGACATAGTATCCCTCTCCCTCACCCCCCACTCTTTTCACGCCCCCTCTCACATCGCGAGGCAGGATCCGCGGGTTCTTAGATTTCTCTTTTCTCTCTCTTCTCTCTTTCTTTTTTTCTTCTTTCTTCGAAAGCAGAAAGGATTCTTCTTCGATGAGAATCCACCCTTCCTCTCGATACGAGAAACAGGGTTGTGTACGTGACTGGAAACCGTGCCAGTCCCGATCCCGCTTTTATAGCTATCCATCCTCTGCTCCTCGCGCCATCCTTGCGCAG